ATCAAGGAGGATTCATTCTAACACGTTGGCAAGGATTCTGGTGTAGCTAGCAATGTAAAGTCTGAACAAGATTTCTCATTGAGTTCCGTCACTACAGGTACATGCCGTAGCAAGTTCTTTCCTTTCCGGTGCTCGCTATTGAATGCATTTGATTTTTAAAGATGTGGCCATGAAAAAAAAAAAGTTTTCAGTAAAAATTGCTTAATGCTCGATTGAAAATGGATGATTAGTTTTCGGTGCATGACCGAGACCAAATAGCAGCTAGATTCACCTTCCTAGGTAAAGAGAGAGATTTGCAGTTTCCCACCTCGTCTTTGCTTTCTCTGCTTGTCAGAACCTCACAGAAACAGAGGAACCAAACCAGCAAGTGCTCATTGAACTTCCTCGCAATCGTCCTTCAACTTTTTGTAATGATCTAAACTGGTTCCTGACAATGAATAAGTAGATAATCTGTCCTCGGAGGAAAAAAGAAATCTACATGAAAAGGGAATCTTCGTGGGAGTACCAGCAAGAGTGCTGCCTGTTGGCATGTGTGTTTTGGAGCTGTGCATCCAGAAGAGATACATCGGCTTCCGATGACTCCTGCGGCCTGTAAATTAGCACCAGGAGCTATGCTGCCCAAGTTCTAGTACTGACATTCGAGTTTCAATTGTGTGAATCGTCAAATGCATATCCTGCCTCGTTTGTCATTACTCATCAATATTCTATTGCCTTTTGGCATAATTACTAAAATCCTTTTATTTTTATAAGAAAGTTCTCTAACCAAAATATCTATCCAAATATTTTTTTTATCTATAAATTTCGAAAGAAAAATATTCAAGCTAAAAAAATCTAAATACCCAACTCCCACCTAACACCATGTTAATTTACTTAGTTTTTTTTAATTATTTTCAGAAGGTTTTATATTTTTTTTTATATTTACAGCATTTATAATTTTTTGAATAAAAAATTATTCTATTAGGGAATTTTAGTAATTACCCCTTACCTTTTATTTCCCTATAATGATGGACTTAAACAAAACACCTTTTGGAAAAACAAGAGAGACGAAGGCTGTTGATTTGCACCATTTGAATGATGGAATGTCATTCATTCTAAATAATTCATAATATTCATTACAATGTTAACATCCAAATTTTAAATAAAATAATATAATAATAAAATATCTAAAATATTGAATCAAAACTAAAAGGAAAGCTTTGCGAATTAAGTAAAGCATACGAATCTAAACTAAAAAAGTATGAACACTCACCAATGTCAAGCTATTAACAAAAATTAAAAACTTAAAATATTTAAAATGAAGAGATGGGTTAACCGACTCAATAAAAAAATAATATTTAATATATATTTTAGCTATTTATAAGTATAAGTCATCAATTGTGATAATATAAAAATAAAGAAACGAAAACAAATGTAAATATATGTATGCGAACCATATCAACATAAAATAATAGAATACATATTAGAGATTAGATGACACTTGAAAATAACCAGATAACACCCAAATATAACTATTATAGAAGTATCAATTACTATAATTTAGTGTCTCTCTTACTAATTAAGTATATAAATACAATATGCACAAAGATTAAATATTCTTTGTTAGTATGAAGTTTTTTATAAGCATACTAATATCAAGACAAATGAAAGTCATATAAAATAACTACTCGCATAAATATCCAAAACAAAAAATAAAAATAAAAGACAAATGAATGCATAACTAGAGATTACTAAAGATCGCTAGAAGGAATGTTAGCAAAACCCATAATGGATACAAAAAATACTAAAAAACAACTCGAAGCAAAATAACATAAATGATTAAAACTCTAAACTTAAAAACCATATTGTAAAGATAAAATCGAATTAATTCATTTGATCAATTCCAAACATAATCCAAATTAATTGAACATAATATACCTAATTAACCTTTACTACAAGGTCAAATGGATGACTACTACACAAAACCACTAGGCAATCATTTTATACTAACTAGTGACCAGCAGCAACAATTGAATTGGTCTTATATGCTAGGTTTACATACATGTTGCAATATGTTAGTTTTGGTGGATTTAGGCTTGGGTTCTAGGTCTTACATACATGTTCCAAGTTCTACTAGTCCATTGGATTAACTTGCATAGTGTGATTCTAAGCATTATAGATAATCAAAGTTCATAGTGAATTGAACAATTAATTTATCAATAGTACTGCAGTACTTGAAATGAATAGGCAAAGAAGGAGAAAGGAGGCCAATGATTTTTGACGAAGCCAAAACATTGGAAATTCCAAGGAAAAGTGTGTTCACTGCCTCACTGGCACATTACTCAACTGCCAGAGTAAAGATTAACCTAGCTAGCTACATGGAGATCACCTCCTTATTCAAGTGCTCATCGGCATAAAATAATGTACATTTAGATTTGAATACTTGGAAAGCATGCAGCTAAATTTTAGATTTGAATACTTGGAAAGCATGCAGCTAAATTTTTTGTGCCTTCAACGCAAAGCCATTGGCTTAGGAAGAGCTTATCACAGTCGAGGTTGGGGTTAAACGCATTAAAATCGTCGGTAGACAAGTTGAACTGCTGTGGAACAGCAGAACAAGTGTCTCCACTTACTACTGCATGCACTGAGACACAGTCTGGTGTGGAAGCTGCTGCCTGAAGAGAAAAGTAGAATGATCCAAGAAAATTACAGTAGTGTTTAATCTAAACACCTACGGCCAAGTACTAATCGGCTTTCAACGATGGATGCAAGGAGGATAAAAGACAGCATCAAAGCCAAGTTGAAAAACAGGGTTATGTTGGTGCTAGACTTGCTGCCTGAGGGGAAATATCAATCCTCGTATTTATAGCCAGAAGTCTATGGTAGAAACAAATCAATAAAGCATTACCGTTAATTTTAGAGTTGCACACAAAGGCCGGTTTCTCTACACGGCATGGATTCAACCATATTGGTAGTTTACATTATTAGTTTGCAAAATATTTCAGCGGATTGCGCTAGGAAAAAGCAATGCAATGCAGTTTATATACTGAGAGACTTCATCGAGGTCAAATGCCTACTTTTTGGCATCACGTTGAGTATGTTTAATTCTTATTGTTCTCCAGGTACAAAGGGAGGGTGAAGTAAGCCTGCTAGCCATGCCAATGACTTTCTTATCGAAACGCGATTAAGATCCCTTCTTTGAGAAACACCATTCGATTCATTTTGTGCTAATAAGATATTCTTTGGCATAATTATTATTTAGATTCGTTAACACAAAGTGACAGAGAGAAGAAACAGTGGTTTTAATAAGATTGGAAGCTATCCTAAATACATTTCTGGGTACCAAGAATGTAGCTTTCAAAATGGAGAATAAAGAATGTAGCTTTCAAAATGGAGAATAAAGACAATTTTTTGCTGAACACTATTACGCGACCGTGGAATCTTCAAGTTGGTAAAGATAGATGCGTCTTAATCACAGGTATTGTACTGGTGACAGGGAAAAGTAATAAAACTGAGGCAAATAAAGAGATGGAAAGGCACATAACAATCTCTATGCAAAAAGTTATTGCGCAATATTTCTGGTATCTCGCAAAGGGCAACTCAGGTGAGGCCCAAACTAAAAGATAGCTGTTAGGTCTATTTCAGGCAGAAATTAATAAGCCTTTGGAGCAAAAACTGATGTACCTGAGGTACAAGTGTACCTAAATAAATATTCCGATGCCCTTGCCGTCACGTGTAACATCCAGTCCTGAGCAGCGTCGTCCCAAACAGTACCACCTGGGCAGGCTCCTGAGCCACCCGGTTATACATCCTCTGTATGGTTCGTCTTACTCATCAAGGCATCCCACGTCCTCCTATTATGGGGTCTGTTGAATGGCATTTGAGCACGCCCATATCCATTGGATGTCCCTTTCGTGACATCATCCTCTCAGCTCAACAATGTGTCATCAACCATTAGAAACTATGATCCCAGATGATAGTTTCTTGTTATAGTATTTTGCTCATTTTACTCTCATCTCCATGGAAGTTGGCTTTGTTCACGACTCTATAAATACCCATTATAAGCTCTCAGGTAAAAGATTTCAATTTCTCAGAAGACATAACGACATAACTTCCTCTCCAACTCGAAAACACTCACATCCTCTTTGAAACCCACATACAGAGCTTTGTTTAGTTTCTAAACCTTATTCCTCTACCGAATTAAACAATTGGAAGGTCCTCACAACCCATCAAGGACACTTGTTTTGCAGATTCACAACCCTTTCAAACACATTCCAGTATAACTATCAGCCGCCTGACCTCCAGCTGAGAAGTTCATCTGCCTTCGAGGATTTAGAGCAACATTACAAAAAAAGCATAGAGCTTGCAGGGAATATGCTTTCTAGCAAAACAAAGTTCCTTTTACGTTTGGCATCACTCATTAAAAATAAAATTTGAATTTAAATCATATTAAAAAGTGTTCAAACATTGTAAATGCAGTAAAGAAGTTATTCTTCCGTCACAATGCAAGATATTACGCGTGATCACCAAGTCAAAGAGAACATATACATTCAGCTGAATCCTTTACCTCCTCTCCAATCTCTGCTATATTTCCTGGAATCATCTGTCAATTCTAGTTTCATAAAATGTTCTCTTCTCTTTTCTTTTCCTATTGTAAAGAGTTAGTCATTTCGAGCAAAATGGGTAGATGTTTTCATATGAATTCCACACAAAACCAATATATGCAGCCATTATAATTATCAAGTCTACTAATGCAATCCATTACAAAACTGGTTATTTTCTCTGCTACCAAATTGTAATAGCGTGAGAACTAAGCGAGCCCATCTATAGCTCTCTCAAGAAAGTTTTTCGTTACCCACTACACTAGCTAGCTACCATATGCAATAGGATCTACTAGTATTCTTACGTTAAAAATTTTGCGTAAGGAATAAGCAAATCGTGAGCCCGCAACATTATGGCACCCACCGAATACGAATCACCCTTCAGAGTTCAGACAAAACAAATCCTGTGCAAAAAGAACGAATCTTATCTATACCCCTTCTATAAAGCACAAGTTTTAACACCATCTTGATCAGGACATATAAACGCTCACATCTTCCATTCTTGTTCATCCCCTTTTGCGTTCATGTCTTGCCTGAATTTGAGGCTTCCACCAGCCAAGAAGGCATGGAAGAGTTTCACATCCAAGCTCCAAAGCAAACTGCATAAACTCAACAAGTGCAAATCTATCACGAATCCGAAATATCCAACCAAGAATATTAACAGCACTGCTTCTCATATCCTGTTTAATCAGAAACGTGATGGAAACAGGAAGCGGCTTGTATACCGACCTCGTGCACTTCCTTTTAAACAACGAAGCAGCCGCTTAGGACATGTCCACAAAAAATCAGCACCTGTATATATTGATAAGCTCTTTCGAGAGCCTGTCAGTAGTTTTGAGTTGATGACTAAGTATCCGCCAACTCCAAAGACTATGAAGATTCTTGATCACCAGGCAGCTACAGCTGTCGCGCCAGCAGGAACGAGCATGGAAGATGAGATCAATAGAGGGGAAAGAGGCTGTGCAGCGGATGATATGTGGGAGTCGTTGGGATTTGCATCTCCTCAAATGCAAGGAATTGATGAAAGAGCTGAGCGGTTCTTTTTTTT